ACTCAGCAACTGTTCTAAATTCTTGGGTTCGTTAGAGGACCCCCTAAGTTGTGTGCAAACCTGATTTGGCTTTGATCTGAACTTTCGTTAATTTTTTGTAAATTGTTTCCTCCCCCAAGGGAAAGCATGGAGCTGTCAGATTTTGACAGGTCCATTGGTTCCTATGGGCCAAAAAACAAAAATTCACAAAAAATTAACGAAACGTCAGATCAAAGCCAAATCAGGTTTGCACATGACTTAAGGGGTCCTCTAACGAATCCAAGCATTTAGAACCGTTTTGGACCCTTCTAAGACACTTTTTAAATTGAAAACAAAAAAAACGTTAAGCGAAGCAGGGGACCTAAAACCAAAAACGTTAAGCGAAGCATGGTCCCAAAAACGCTATGCGAAAATCGCCCATAGGGAAAAACGTTATACGAAGCACAATCTGCCTCTGAAAAAATAAAAATTAAAGTTTTAAAAAATCTCAAGCTGGGAAATGCCCTCATTGACCTTAGACTAAAAGTGACTGGCCCAAAATCATATAGTAAGTGATAAGGATGAATTTATGATCAGGATTTATTACGGGGAATGGCAATCACTAAGGCAATTTTCTCCATCTTACAGGATGTCAATGGTGTTCTTAGTTGCACAGCTAGAGGCTAAATGGTGGAATATGCTTGAGCAGTTGACATTCTACATACAGTTAGTATAGCACAGTACTGGCCTGTAGGATTGTAGCCTGGCCTAGGCAGAGTCAGAAAGAAAAAGAAAAAAAATCGCTATTTCCCCAGCTTGAAAAGTCACAGCTACTGAAAAAGAAATTCTGTGGAGTTCAGTTGCTTTTACTCCTACTTACTTGGTACTAAGTCTCCTGTAATTCAACAAGTGCTGTAAGTTATTTAAATTAAACAAAAGGAAAACACTTTAGGTTTTTAAGTGCCTGCTTCCATTTCAGAGACTGTAGCTAAAATACTGTTTCTTTAATTAACATTGTGTAAGGCTGATGGCATTATCTGCTGTGATGTGGGTTTTTTTTGGAAATTAAAAAAATTCCAGTTCTCCCCATGAATATCCCGAGGCTCCTTTTCATTTCAGGAAAGCCACTGGGGCTATGGAATGGGAGGAAACATTAAATTTCAAACAAACAAACAAACAAAAACAAACCCTGCTACAGTTGATAATGTCATCAGCCCTACACAGTATAAATTATGCTACTGGAGTTCAGCCAATGAACTAGAGAATTTCTTCCAGACTACATGAAAATTCCCAAAGTGATATCCGATTATCTCACTGTCTTGGTAAGAATATGATGGGGCATTTCATTTAAAATACAGTATCTCTCTTGTTGGACTCTGTTTGTACCTACTGTAAGCATTTTTCTTTATTTCTGTAAAATAATAATAAAATAAACTTGTACAACTAATATCTAATCATATTAAATTATTTCTAGGAAAAGAGATAAAGGGTGAGCTATTCAAAAGAAAAATAAATATGTTTTTTCTTTCTCTCATTTAACGTGTTTGATAAACGCTTTATCAATCATATCAAGAATTAACGAATACTTGGTTGATGAGTCTATCTGGGTGGTAAGATTTTGCATAAAAATATAATTCTAATTATTATATTCAGAGGTTGTCCCTCATGTGAATTAACTTTCCATAACAAGATATTCACTTTCTTAAAATAAAAGCATGAATTTATGTTACAAAGGAAAATAATAGTTTTTGATGAAATAGAAGTTTTATGCATCTAGTGCTTAAAGTTATCAGTTGTAGACAATCCGTTGGCAGTTGTAGACAAAGTTGCAGCAGCTTCAGTGCACACCCGGCAGTCTACATCCACTTGAGACCATGCACTGAATACAAGTTTTGACATCTCCCAACTACTGTGCACTGTTTGCCTGAAAATAAGAGCTAACCTGAAAATAAGCCCTAGTATGATTTTTAGGCTGATTGTAATATAAGCCCTACCACCAAAATAAACCCTAGTTAAGTGAAACCTCGTCCTCCACCATTGTACAGCAGCCAGAAGATGACATGACTGTATTTGAATAAATGTAGATTGTTGTCCATGAAAAAAATAAAACATCCCCTGAAAATAATCCCTAATGCATTTTTGGAGCAAAAATTAATATAAGACCCTGTCTTATTTTCAGGGAAACACGGTAATTCCAAAATGGATCCCTCTCCACATGATCCTAAACATCCCAAGAGCTCCTGGCAAATATGCTTTAGGATTAGATTCACAATGTTTAAAAGGAAGAGTAAGAAATGCAGTAAAAGTTTGGGCTTTTCAGACTATCATGACAAGGAACATGACATTACCTCAGTACACTGGAGCATATTAATGAAAAGCAAGACTTGTAGATTCCTCCACTGATTTCTACACAGAAAGTCTGTTTGATCTTCAGTGGCACTACTGTTGCCATCATGTTCCTCAAACAGAAAGTTAAACAAAGAAACATATGATGCACAGACGTTTCTGAAGAGGGTTCAATAGAAAGTATGCCTATCAACAAAAAGAAGTGACAGATTACTTTAGTAAGTAGGCTGTTGTTTATACAGATGTGAAACAGGCTGTCTTGCTAATCAGTCAAAGGAGAACTAAGAAAATCTGAATGTTTAGTTGAAAAAGAACAATGAAGAATGGTCTGTAGTTTTAAGGGGGGAAATGGCTACACAGAGTGCTGGCTGGATAATTCAGTGGGTTGGAGCACATGGCTGTAGAGTTGGGGGTCAAGATTTTGATTCCCGGTTGTGCTAGCCAGAAGAGAAGCTAGACAGTGCAAGCAAGCTGCATTGGTCCCACAGTATCATCAGAAGGAGGGACTGGTCAATTATTTCTGATTACTTAGAAATAATTTATGCAAAACTGACATCTGAAATAATGATATTCAAAATCCAGTAAGACCGCATTTTATTTTCCCAGGACACTTTGTCAATTGACCTTAAAATAGCCACTATGGAACATACAGGAAATGGAAAAGGCAGATTTATAGGGATAGTTGAGTTACATTGTCAGGGTTTTAATCAGGATAGTAAGATTCTTAATATATGTAGCTGTATTTAATCATTAGCAAATCATGTATGCTTCTCACAGGTACAAGAGAGCAATCCAGCTCTACTTCCTGTGTTTCAGTTTTATTGCTCTCCTATATGAGGACAATTCCCAGCATGGTATTATGGATAAGGGGCTGACTAGGACTCTGGAGAACAGGATCCCGACTTGGCCGTGGAAACTCACTGGGGGAGTAGAACTGATGAAACCACTTTGGAAATATCTTATCTTGAAAACCCTGCTAGGGTTGCTGTCTGACTTGACAGCACAGGACACACACATATGAGGACAGCTTTTGGTACCCATGGAAGATCCTCATGAGTCAGGATGCTGATTTTCCAGGGCCCAACTCACATGGAGAACCCCCATGGATAGTGGAGTCTCCAGACCCATCAACCTCCACAGGTAGGAGAGCGGTGATACTAAAAACAAAAAGGTCAGGGCTAGAGCATTCTCCCTACCTGTGGTAAATATACAGAATTTGCTAAGTGAAATGGATCTGTATGTTTATGGGCTTATAATGAGCCAGACTAGCTGTGTTATGAGCAACAATTTTGCAAATGGTCAATTAATAATGTAATATTTGCAATTAATTTTTCTCTGTTCTCACCTGCCTATAGTTCCACCCGCAACCATGTGTATGCTCTCTCTCTCTGTGTGTGTGTTTTTGTGTGTCTGTGTGCGAAAATTCTCGATATTCACCTTTTTTCCACTGAGTCTTATTAAAAATATTTTAAGGATTTTAATTTTTTTAAATCGGATGGCAGAAAAATGGACAGAAAAATGGAAACAGATGGTTCAACCAATCATTTTATCTTCCAATGATTTACATGTAATGCAATGAATTGTTTGCATGAGGAACTCAACTTGAGCCATACTTACTCATACAAAAGTCCTATTGAGTTCATTGGGATTTATTTTATCATACAGTACATGTTTTTGGACTACCAGTATGAAAGTCACTGATGGGAAGGGAACTCCACTAGGTTCATTCCCTACATACATTGCTCTTCATCTGTCCAGTATTATACAGTTAAATGCTGAAATAATTTGAATTTCACAGGTACAAGAGAACAATCCAGCTCTACCTGCTGTGTCCAACTCTACCTCCTGTGTACAAAAATCCTTTGATTTTCTGTAATTAAGACCAGGTGAATTTAAGGAACTCCAGTGTATTATGGCTAGAGGGCCTTATATACTGTACCACCAGCAACGGGACAGCTGCCTTTGAGCTCTATTGCTTTCTGCAGGACAAAGCTCTGTGTTTGCAAACACCTGCTAGACGGCTGTCTCAGACATAGGGTGGGATGTTCTCTTGCTGCCAGTATTAAGGCAAGCTTCTCCAGTTGGTTTTCATCCAAGGAACAGGGAGGGGAAATGATCTAATCTTTTGCCTCTGACAGGACAATGTTTTGGGATGTCCTGAAAGTGCATACGATTTGGCTGGAAAGACCAACCAGGTCTTGTCCATCAGTTTCATAGGCATCTCGCCCCTTCCTTGTTCCTCTATTGCAAGAAGCACATACTGTACTGTACATAAAACAGTGGCGATCACCTATAATCTGGATTATCAATGAGGGCACTTCAATTTAACTTCTTTACCTAATATGTTAGGTTCCAACGAGCACACCTAAAATCGGGTAGGAATACAAGAAGTTTAACAAAGTAAAAAGATGAACGTTTCTCTGAGTTCCCCAGTAAGAATTGTTTTCTCTGTTGTCTTGTTAATAGTATCCTAGCCTTTCCGGTCTATGGCTTCCCCCACCCCAAACCTGACATCTCTCTGCTCCAAAGGACCTCAAATCCCCGACCAACCTCAATTCGCCCCCCTCATCCCGAGTTTCCCGCCACACTCTGCATCAACTCGTTGAAATAATCTGCTTTTTCCCAACCCGCCAAAGCTCTCCCTCCCCGCCTTCTGTTGAAAGAGGCGCCCGTTGCCAAGCAGCGAAACGCGGCCGCCGTTCCCAGCCGGAGGGACTAAAAGCGGCGTGGGAGCAGGAGGTGAGGCCGGCAAATCTCCTCCGTCTACCGGTGAGTAACTAGAAGCGATCTCGGAGCTGCGACGATCCAGCAACTCTTTGCCGGCGGGATAAGGGCGGTTTTAAACCAGACGGTGAAGGACTGAGTGAGTGAGATCGCGGGGCTTTGAAAAGTTGCCAGTTCACATTTTTCTGGAGGCTGGCTAGAAAGGCAAGTAAAGTAGAGTATAGGCAGGCTGAAGCCCTACGCTGCAGATCCGTGGCACCAACGGGACTTAAACGATGCCAAGCCGAGCTTGCAGGAACCCTTCGGTAATCTTGCAAAAACCCAGAGTCAAGAGAGCCCGGAATTGGATACGACCCTGGTGGTTATCCGCTTCCTCACGCTCAGAACGCGTTCACACGTTCCAGTCTCGCCCCGTTAACCGGCGAGGCAACCCAAATAAGCACGTGGACCCCAGGGCTGAAAGGGAGGGGCCGGCCTGGCGTTCGCTTGCCGCGCATTTTTTTGGTCAAGCCCCGCCCCCTGGCGCGGCAAGTGAAAGGCCATGACGTCACCTACGCCATGCCCGCTGGTATCTTCATCTCTCGGCGCAGTGGTTGTTTGGCAGATGTCAGTGGTACCTCACTTTAGTAGCGGTTGACACGCTAAAAGGTGTAAACACAACAGGGCAAGTTCACAAATGCTCTGGAAGAAACTTGTGGAGAAAAGAAAGCCAGGAGGGGAGGCCACGGAGTTGCAGTTTGTGTCCCTGACTAGCAAGACCGTCAGATCTTTATAAAGATGCCATGGGTTTTTTTTTTTAAATAAATATTTGTATTGTATTTTTTTCTACTTTTCTGTCCGTTGCAACCAGAGTGATTTATTAGCGTTTATTATTTTATTTCGTCATTCTTAAAACCATGGTATAAATCACTCAGGATGCCATGGTTTTGACGAAATAAAATATATATTATATATTTATGTTGCAAAGAGATATTTGGATGCTTTGCTGATACAATACTGTGAAGCTGTTTGCTATTTGGATAATTTAAAAAGGGTAGCTAGCCATAGTAGAACTTTGGATACAAAAGCTTCTAGCTTAGTTTTTTTCCAGAGCGTCTTTTGGCTACTCTAAATTGAGATACAGTACTTATTTTCTGAAAATCAGCTTCACATGTACTCAAATGTACTCAAACCTGAGGGGGGGGGGAAGAAATTACAGTTAGTATATAAAGCTTTATTGAAGAATAACAGAAAAATTGTCTGCAGTAAGAGATGCTAGGAATACAGTCCTGTCCATCCTTCCCCAGTCAAGAAAGAGCTTGAAATGTAACTGAAAGCATGGTACAAGGGAATTAAAATTATTGCAGAAAACAAGGAGCTGTTTTTCTGTTTGGTGGCCTGCTTTGAATTTTGGCTTTAAGACATGGATCTTGTCAGTCTTTACAAGAATAACAGGGCTGATAGACACTGTAAAATGGCTTTTTGAGGTAAGAAATCCTCACTGATTTGACCAACTTGGTAAACCTATCCCCAAATCTTGTTTTCAAAACAGAAAAATCAAAACATGGATAATCCTCAGTTACACTGATGTTACTCATATAATAATTTTACAGTTCTAAATGTATTTTCACCATTTTAGAAACTGAAAATCTCTTATGCATGGATATAGGTCCGTAGCTCTTTATTCTGTAAATGTAATCCAAGCTGTTTTACCTACTGATGTTTTGATTCTGTGCATTTCTCAGTAAATACTAAAGCTCTAGTGATTTCCAGAGAATTGTACTTTTCATACACTCCAGATATTTTCCACCTTCTATCATATACTTACCTACTTGCATGCATTTTGTATGATTGGAATATAATACTAGAAGCTGGATCAGTGGTGTAGTCAATCTCACACAATTTTTTGATGGCTTGTTACAAGTTGCTTTGAAAAGCTCTTCAGTCATAGACAGGGCCAAAATAGACAGTTGAATTAGCGAAGGCTTAGGCAATATTTAATATGCATTTGGTGGAGTGTGGAGGGAGGGTGACAAATCAGCGGTATATGTGCAGGATCACAGTGTTAGGATATTTATCTAAGCTAGTTCATGACATTTCTCAGTTTTGTGACCTAGAAATACAGTGGTGCCTTGATTTATGAACTTAATTCGTTCCAGAACTCCGGTCGTAACTTGAAATAGTTGTAAGTCGAAGCACCATTTCCCATAGGAATGCATTGAAATGCAATTAATCCATTCCAGCCAGAAAAAAAATCACAAAAAACCCAAAACAAAGCACTGCAAGACCCATCGGAAACACGATTAATCTGTTCCAGCCAAAGGGGAAAAGAAAAAGAAAAGCAAACAAACTATGCAAGACCCTTCGGAAATGCAAAAAAAAGCAAAGCAGAAAGCAAACAAACCATGCAAGACCTTTCGGAAATGCAAAAAAGCAAAATATAAGGCAAACAAACCCTGCAAGACCTTTCGGAAATGGGAAAAGAAAACCCAAAAAACAAACAAACCCTGCAAGACACATTGGAAATGGGGAAAAAGCCCCCCAAAACAAACAAATCGTGCAAGACCCATCACAGCATAGAAACATAATCCCACCACCCAGCCCAAAACCACGCTGCAAAACCCATCCAGAACATTTTTTAAAAAGTAGAAATCAGCACCTTAATAGGCAGTCCGAAGCCTCCTCCAATCACACACTCTCTAACTAAACAGCTACAAAGAAGAGCTACAAAGAAGCAGCCTCTTCACCACCAACAGTAATATGAATTCCCTGTAGAAATCAGCACCTTAATAAGCAGTCCGAAGCCTTCTCCAATCATACACTCTCTAACTAAAGAGCTACAAAGAAGAGCTACAAAGAAGCAGCCTCTTCACCACCAACAGTAATATGAATTCCCTGCCTTTTCCCCCTGCCTTTTTGTTGTAACTCGAAGCTCTGGTCGCAAGTAGAAGCAAAATTTTGTGGCCGGAGCTGGCCATAACTCAAAATGGTCATATGTTGGGACATTCATAAGTCGAGGCACCACTGTAGTAGCCAGGACAATTAGGACACTAGCTCCAGGCTTGATGCAGTGGTTGAAGCTCAAGTGCAGGAATAAAGGTACACTTTGGTGTTGAGGGTAATCCTGTCTTCCAATGCTGGTCCAGTCCTCATTAACAAAGATAATGCAAAGGGTTCAATGTATGACTGCATGGGTCACACACACTTATTTGCTGTATTCCTCATAGGTTATTACACTGTATACCAATTTCTCATATACCATATCTAAGATCAGGATGGACAGTTCTTGTATTACAGAAAAAATGTTTGCCTTGTCTTTAATATATGTTTTGATTTGTTTCTTTAGACATCTTAAAAGAACAAGTAAAGAATCTGACCTCACTAAACTGTAAGTGTTTATTACATCTTAGATTTCAAATAACTCATGTTTTAATTTCTGAAAGCTTTGTGTCTTATCATTTGGGGAGCTGCTTTTGTGCATGTCAGTGACAATGGGGTAATGATCACTATGTGAGCAGAAAACTCTGTTCTATCTATTGGTACATAATTTAATCTGCATTGTGGCCTTATATACAGAATTGTCTTAATATGTGAAAATAAATTAAAGGCAGCTGTGTATGGGGATTTTCACCTGTGTTCTTATTTTTGAGCCATTAATCAAAACATTTGCCCAGTATTTTGAATTTTGCACACATGTAACTGCAAGTACAGGTATGGTGATGTAGAAAGGTTTGTTGCTCTCTTGCTCATGTGGTTGCTTGCACGACCTGATCTTTCTACATCACGACAGCCACTTCCATGTTCAATACACACAGAAAATCAAACAGAGTATTGGTCATTGTGTTCTTTTTTACTACTTACCTGCCCAGTTCCATTTGTATGGCTGAGGGGCACTGTATGCACTTTCTTGTCACAGTACAGTAGCACCCCTATATCCATGGGAGATCAGTTCCAAGCCCCTCCCTCCTCCAGACGCCAAAAAGTGCAGATTATAATGAATGCTTCTCTGGTTCTCTCTAGTAGCCAGTTCTGGTAATGACATCGTAGAAATATCTTTCTCTAGCAAACACTATAGACCATAGCACAGTCTCTGGCTCCCTTTAGTGGCCAGTTCTGATAGAAATATATATTTCTATAATTTTTCTTTTAATATTTTTAATATTTTCAGACAGTGGATAAGTGAATCAGCAGATACAGGGGTCCTACTCTATTTACAGTAATGAAATATGCATTCAGCTTAGTTGATGTTGGTTATAAGATATAATGACATAGAGTATCTTGGACGGTATTTTAAGTTGACTGTCAATGTGTGTTCTACAGTTTTCTTTCTCATTGATATACTCTGCTGTTGCAAATATCCTGTCAAACTGACTTCCCCATTGGAGAAGCTTAATTTACATTAATGATTCTTGGCCTTAATTAAAGCCAAGAATCATTACTTAGCAATCTTCACCAGGTCTAGTTAAGAGTTCAAATGCAGTTCAGGCCCAAATTAGTCCATTTAAAACCCAGTCTTATTATACGTTTCTGATCTGAAGTTCATTTTGCTTTTTGGCACTTGTGAACGTTCGGGTTCAGGCTCCAGTTTTTCTTGAAATAAATTGACAGAATTCTTCACTTTAGAAATCGGTGTAACGTTTATTGGATTGTTTAACAAATAACCTGTGTCGACAAAGGTATTCCAACCATTTCCTCCCTCTAACAACTGGTTAGATGGGAGCTTCCACTCTTCAACTTTACTGGACTGGCCGGGACCACTGAGTATTCCAGGGTCCCGGCCAGTCCATTGTAAAGTCCAAGTTCAATAATTGTCCTGTCTCCCCTTCCAGTAAGGAGACTGTGCCTTCATCCCGGTCATCTGTCCAGACCTGGTTTTGTGAGGGGGAATCCTCTGGCCATAGTCTTCCGAGGGGCCCCCTCCTCTGTAGCTCCATCATCCGCCATTCTAATCTTTCTCTCCTGTCCCTCTCCCCCTTTTCCTTCTCTTTCCTTAACTTCTTTCTCCCCTCCTTTGTCTCTCGCTCTCCCCAATAAGGGGGTTTAGGGGTGCTCTCACTTCTCCTTCTTGCATCTGTCTCCTCCTTTAGGACTCTTAGTTTTTCTGCCTTCCCTGTCCATGGATCTTCCAACCAGAGCCACTCCCAACCACGAGGCAGGTTCCTGTCCCCCCTTTTTATATCTACAAGCCCCACCTGTACCCGGGGCTGTCATTCCATTCCCGCTAAAACATTCCCGCCTTCTTAACAGTCATTTCTTTAAACTTTTCTTCTACGATCCCTGGGTCTGTTCTGGGTGGTCTTATCTTCCTGGGAGGGGGGATAGGTGATGTTTGCACTTCCTTGTCAGCAGAGGGCAGGAGGGACGGCACTCCCGTGAGAGGAATTTTGCTCTCACCATCAGTCTTACAGCACTGTTTTTCATTTCTGTTAAGATTGTTAAGAATCCAGTGTTAGCTACTCCTCCCAGCTTTATATCTCATCAAATTATGACAGGAAATTGATCAGCATCCTCTCAGCTTCTTCATCCAGGGCATTTTATAAAGACACTGAACAATGGTGGACTCTAAACAGAACCCTTAGGCACCGTGTTTGTTGTTTCTCTCAAGGTTGGAAGTCCATAGATCAACTACAAATATATCTAATGGTAGCATCCTCTAGCCTGTATTTTACCTCCTGGTGTGAGAAAAACATCATGAGGGAAACTTGTCAAAAGTCTCGTTGAAATAAGCATATGCCATACTGAATTCATTCCTCTGATCTACCAAGCTTACAACTCTGTCAACAGAGAGAAAGAAAGAGAAGGAGAAAAGATTAGTTGAACCTGACTTATTCTTGAGAATGCCAAGCTAGATCTCAGTAATCACCATGGTCTTTTCTATATATTTACAGATAATTTCTCTCTGGCATGTGTGCCAAACTGACTTCTTGATAGTTGCCCTGATACTTCGGGTTCTTTTTCTGAAGACAGGGGCAACATTTGCCCACTTGCAGTCTCCTAAGACTATAGCTGTTCTCTAAGAATTCTCAACTGTTGCAGGTAGAGTCTCTGAGATTACATCTGCAATTTCCTTTAGAAACGTTAGATGCAATTCATCTCTTCCTGAAGACTGAATTCATTTAAAGTAGCTAAAGGTTCCTATACCATATTTTTACTTATCCTGGGCAGCCACTTCTTTGTTGTGTAATTTTTTTTTCAATTTTTGCCAGATTGGGCACTGTTTTTCTTTAGAGAGGAGACAGTTAATGCAAGAGTCAAACAGTACCATCTGTTCTAGCACCCCTTAGCCCAATCTTATTCTGTGCTTTGGTCCTCTTCATCTTCCCTCTACAAATATTGGCAACTTCTTTGTACTCTTTGCCTCTCCTTTCATTATCTCAGCTCCTCAGAAATCTCTGTATGCCCTCCACCTGCCTCCTACTAGTTTTTCTTCCTGGAATTGTTCTTGATTGGACTTTTGGCACTTCCTCTTTAATAAATCTTCCATCCACCTGCATCTCCTTTTCTGTTTGAATATTTCTGACTGTGGGATCTCTCCCAAATTTTTAAGTTTGTTGAAATTATGCTTTAGAACAGTCGTTCCCAACCTTGGGTAACCCAGATGTTCTTGGACTGCAGGTCCAAGAAATTCTGACCAGCACTGCTGGTGGTGAAGTCTTCTGGGAACTGCAGTCCAAGGACATTTGGATTACCCAAGGTTGGGAACCAGTGCCTTAGAGCAATACAGCTGTCACATTCCAAGTATCAGATCCATGGAAATTATGGGAGAAAGTATCTTTTCCAGATATTTTTGGAGCATAATGTTGCTGAGGAGCTTACTAAAAGCCCTAATAACAACCCTTTTAGTCACTGTTACTAGGCAGGTTTAGTGAAAAAGAGAGCATCAGGAGATACAAAAAGGGTTAGTGCTGGGCGCAGTGTTGATCTTATTAAGTTATGAACCCAAACCCCAGGTATACTTGCCTTATAATTCATTCAGAGATTCCATATGGATACATTTTGTAATCCAGATTCCCTAGTTACAAAGAAGGGCATCATTAGTCTTGATGTAATTCAGCATAATATCTTTTGTTATGAATCAACCATTGACGTTACCCTTCACCAGCTCTTCTGTACTTTTAAAGCAAAATAAATTTCCTTGCAGTATCTCAAACAATTAGAGAACCTTTCCTCTATTTTCGCAATGCCATATTTCTGCTTCTATTAAAAGTTTGTGCCTTGAGGCCTGCCAGCAGGGCTTACAATACCTACATTAAACCAAATTTAAGAGTAAGGGTGCTCCTGCTGCTAACATTCTCAGATCACAGGCGTGCAAAATGAAGGAACTGGCAGCTGTAACTTTAATAGTGGAAAGTATAAGATGAATACTGCTCTATATGACAAAAAAGTCCCATTAGCATTTATGAACTTCAAAATGACAAGCTAGACTTAAGACTTTTTTTGTTCTGTTTAAAAGAAATAAGGCTTATACTCAAATAAGACTAATCACAGTATTGCTATCATATTGCGGCATATTAGTTGTTGGTATAATTTAGACTTATAATAATATGTAGATTGTTTTATTATATCCTTTGTGCCTTTTCTAGTATTTGCTAATATAAATATTAGGTCAGTTTCTTATTAAAATACATGGGAATAGAAGTTGCAGACCCAATGTTCCATTTGCGCTGATTTTCGCTTATCGGAAACACAGTGAAAATTCAAAATCAGCATTAAATATTGGCAAATACTGATAAGACAGGAAGAATTTGTTGTCTTTAGCTATTTATAATAGTTATGAGAACCGTTATTACATGCATTTGCTATGTATATACTTACTCTGTTCAATATATCTGGTACTGTATTACTATCACAGTACTTTGGCTACATGATTTAATAAATTGACCTCCCTCCTGCTTCTTTATAAAACCTGTTTTCTTTCATGTCTGTTATTATGTCATTGTAATTCTGTTATTTCCGAGAGCAGCAAATGTGTCCAATATTAATTAATCTGCAAATATTTCAAATGTTCCTGAAATTGCTGCTAAAAATAGGTAAATAATGGCTAAAGCCTGTGGGTGTAAATAGTTATGGTAACAGGAGCCAACAATGGTACTCTTCAATTTAATTTAATTCAAAGTGTCCTATTCCCCCCTTCAGGTTCCAAAGCTCGCTAAGGATCCCTTTTGACCTCAGGATGGTGGGGGCAGGCTAGCAGCAGTCCCAATCCTGCCAGTGACAATCTAGCAGCAGTGTTTATCTATTAAAGGCTCTCCACCATCCTGAGGCTCCCCAAAGCTTTCTGGGTTCAAGAGGGATCTCTAGAGAGCCTTGGAACCTGAAGGAGGGAAATAGAAAGCTTTAAATTCAATATTAAATTGAAGAGTGGGTTTGCAAGCTGATGACATTGCCATCCATGTATTTACGCAAGAGGATTTCAGCTACTACGTCCTCTTCTGTGCTTTCAGTCTTTCTGGATATTCATTAGCAGTTACAACGTGCCTTTAATTTTGAACTAAAATATCAGTGTTCCTTCTCCTATGTATTCAAGTGCAAGTTGATCTCAAATTGCATGTGCTATGTTGATTTTTCATTTGCAAAAATGTTTGTCTGAGTTAATTTTATGACTGAAGGTCTGCTAATATTTTGATGCTGTGGAGTCTTTGACTCCTATAGAGACTCCTATAAGAAAAGCGAAGACTATTTGACATAAATTGCTTGCAATATTCTGTATTTTTTTTAGTTCAAAATGAGTATATTTCCTCCTGTGCCAGTGCATAGTCCCAAAGCACATCCAAGTATGGAAGAGATGAAATGCCCTTCACCAAACCTTGCAAGGTATGTTTATTGTACTTATTTTCTTTCTCTTCATTCATATATTTGCCTGTGGCTCTTGAAGTACTTTCAGTACTATACTAGAGGGAAAATATGCTGGAGTAGCTAAGTCACAAGAAGACTAGAATTCTGTATCCATTTGCCTGAGAATAAGCCTCCTTCAACTCAGTGGAAGTTGATTTTGAACAGATCTCTTTAGGATTATGTTGCAAGAGCCAGATCTGCAGTATTTGGGATTTAAAAATTCAAAATACAGAATATTTTATGAAACTTAAGAGAAGGCATTCCCAATATTCTCAAAATTCAGAATGGAAATTGATTTGTTAAATGCATAGTTCAACGTTACTAATAATCTCATACATCAAGATTTAGAGGTCCAGTTTCCATTTCCTGTTTGTTAAGATAGTTCTTTTTGGGGAGAGATATTTATATAATAACCCTTATTTCCAGTGCCTGTGGATTGAACTAATCGTGAACCAAATTCAATTGTTGGTGTCTGCTAGAGTAATTTTAGGTGGAGCAATTTATAGGGACATTTTCCAAAAAGATAGGTGGGATGCTCTCAAAGCTTTAGAAGCGGCTCCTGGTTTCATGGGCTGTAGTAACTACAAACTACACAGTGGGGAAATGCGCTTTGATCCAGTTTTTCAAATTAAGTCCCTGCTGGTTTCCGCAGGAGGAATTGGTGTAGCCATCCAGATGAATACAAATAGTTATTGTGTTTCAGGAGTCAACAGGACCAGAGGCAAAGAAAGCTGTGAACTTGTTAGTATGGAATTCCGATGGATCAATTTTTGATCTGACAAAGTGCCATTTGGCAGTTTCGACTGGCACTACCTCTTCCCTTTGCCTCTTTTTAAAAATTTTTTCCAAAATAATAGCACTAATCTGTTGCAGCACTGATTTTGAAAAGTCTATACTTTTTTTAAAAATGGAAACAACAGGTGCTCAGTTGAGGGAAACTGACTTCCTGTGAGTCCCCCTTTACATCAGACTAGGCAATCACACAAGGTAGAAAGCAGAGAAAATCTGCACCAGCAAATCAAATCAAAATTAAGCCATTCTGTCAGCTGGCAGTGGGGGGAGATTCCCTATGGAAAACAGATGATTCCCCACCAGGCTTCCACACACTGAGTTTTATGTCATGAAGTTATCAGTTTTAAATTAAATTCTATCTGTGCCTAATCTGATGTAAATTGTGGGGTCAGTAGCCAATACAGTATAGTCGCCCACTCACTTAATTTAGGACAGAATGGAATGTAAAATAAATTCAGATGATTTTGAATCTGTGCTCTATTGTCATGCATAGTCCTGGTATGCTCACACAAAAAGCATCAACACATTACTTTTGAATGAAGACTGGTTTATCAGAGGTGGTAGGACATGATTACTCAGTCTCAGATATCTCATCATGAATTCATTTCTGTTTTATTCCTTTCTAATTTGACAATTGTGCCAACATTCCTGATTCAAAGTCTTCTTCCTGCAGAATGTTGGGCCAGTTAGTTGCTTTATTTAATAAAACAATATTAGTGTATGATGTTCCACAATTTCTTCAGCTTGTAAAACTGTGTTCTTGTCAGCAATATTTGAGAGAACTTTATGGAAGTAAGGCAACAAAAGGCATAAAAGTGACTTGTAAGTACCTTTTAGTGCTATCCATTGTGACTGTATTTCATGTGTCCATTGTCATTCAAGAGCACATGGTAGTGTTTCAGAAACCCCTGCAAGAATCTTTTTGAAGATATGGAAAGCACAAGTCCTCTAGCATGTGTCTGTTGGAAAGTGGAGTAAACAGCGGCTCCCACTTATTATGGTCTTCCAAGTTATAGTACAGGGACAGGAAAACAGTTGCTCTTCCCAGAAAAAAAATTCAGCATGGGCTGCAACAGCATTAACCCTTCCAAGATTTACTGAACAGGCACCCGATGGAAAATACACATGAAGTTCATTTCGAGGTCTAATGCAGGCTTGAACACCTTCTATCATCTGTGACACATTATAGAGTCGTTATCAAATCTTTGACCTCTGTGTCACCCAGGAGAATACTATGACTCTTCAAGCTGCCAATTCGCATTTCAATTGTCAGCTATTTTATTTCTAAATTAATACACTCAAAAAACTATTTAATGCTAAAGGTACCACTGTCCTTGTTGTAAACTCCAGATCATAATATACATTCCTGTTGGGCATGGTTTGGAGTCATCAGGAACAGTATCTCATATAATAGAATAATTAAGGGCCTTTTCTGTCAGATAAAGGATGGACCTCTGCATACTCTTTTACCACATAATTAGGTAAACTTTCTTATAATGAGCCTCTCCATTTACCGTTCTGCTTTCTATTTGCTTCTGTTCAACCTTAATCCAATGGTCACAAGTGATGCTGTCATAATGAGCTACAATCACAAGAGTTCCAAGAAAGCTGTCATTATACAAGTCACATATCAGATCTTTATCTCTTTGGAATGACAAATCTCTTAAAGAAAGGGGAAAGGTAACATCAAACAATCTTTCCAGTGTTCTTTCCCATCATGTAACTTTTGTTAAGACTTGTTTTTGAAGATCACTGTCCATTCAATTTCCATTGACAGCTACTGCTGCAGTTGCTTTCACAGGCAGAAGCAAGTTTCATGTTTTATGTGACTTTTCACATTCAGGAACTTTACTATATAGTTTATGCCTTTTTGTCATAGGTAAAGGTTCCCCTTGACATTTAGTCTAGTCGTGTCCAACTCTAGGGCGCGGTGCTCATCCCTGTCTCCAAGCCGTAGAGTCAGCATTTGTCCGTAGAGTTTCTGTGGTCACGTGGCCAGCGTAACTAGACATGGGATGCTGTTACCTTCCCACCGAGGTGGTACCTATTTATCTACTCGCATTTAGAAGCTTCCGAACTGCTAGGTTGGCAGGAGCTGTGACAAGCGACAGGAGCTCACTCCGTCATGTGGATTTGATCTTACGACTGCTGGTCTTCTGACCTTGCAGCACATAGACATCTGCAATTTAACCCGCAGCGCCACCACGTCCCTTAAATAAACCATAGTGCTCAATAAAGCAAAGCAAACTGTATATACCACCCCATAGTGCTTAAAACACTTTCTGTGTAGTTTACAATTGAATTATGTAGGCTACACATTCCCCCAACCCCAGCGAGCTGGGCACTCTGTTTATCAACTTTGGAAGGATGGAAGGCTGAATCAGCCTTGAGCCGGCTACCTGAGCCCATCAAAATTGACCTTGGGTCATAAGTAGAGTTTTAACTGCAGTACTACAGTTTAACCACTGCACCATGAGAATTCTACTAATAAACCTCTGAAGTGCTTTATTCTTTGTATTTCTGTACAGCTGATTATATAGGAATATGCTTGGAAATGGCTACTATCCATTGTATCTTTAAAATAATCATTGTGCTAAGACATACCCTGTTTCCCCAAAAATAAGACCTAACCTGAAAATAAGCCCCAGTTAAGTGAAACCCCCACCCTCCACCATTGTGCAGCAACCAGAAGATGACATGACTGTATTTGAATAGATTGTTGTACATGTAAAAAAATTAATCTCCTGAAAATATGCTCTAATGTGTTTTTTGGAGCAAAAATTAATATAAGACCCTGTCTTATTTTTGGGGAAACACAGTAAGTACCCATCACCACACACTCAGCATGACAAGGTAGAAACAATGTTTTATTCTTCGAGAATACATTAAATGGTATTTGTTTTTCAAATTAAGTTCAATATAAAACAGTTTATATAAAGTGAAATAAATTGGACAGACTTCATTCATTCTCAACATTTTGTTAACTTGGCTATAATCACACCTGACAGTCCAAATCATGGACTAAAACTAGAGATGGGCATGAACTGCTGGCTTGGTGATTTGGTGCCATTTGTTTCCTAGTCAAAAAGCTGATCTGCCTGTTCATTAACCAACCCCCTCTAGTGGATTCCCACTTGGCAGGAGTGCCAGGAGGAGGCAGGGCAGGGTGCTGTTCACCAAGTGGGTACCTGCTCAAGGGGATGAGGCACCGAACCACAGATCAGCTGTTTGGCCGAGAAATGAACAGCACCAAACCACTGAACCAGCAGTTCATGCCCATTTCTAATTGCAATACAGGGGCAGCCTGCAGTGGGAAGCAAAGCACTGCCACCACTGATGAGCCATTCCCCCATTGCCCCCCCCTGCACTGAATGATTTTTTAAAATCCCAGACACTTTTTCAGCATGCGCCATAACAAAAGAAGAAAAAGAATGCCAGTTTCAAACAGAGGACGTTGGAAACAAAGGGTGATAGGAAGGGGGTGAGAGACCTCAGGGTCTCTCACCCTTGTCGTCATGCCTTGGTTCATGCAGTCTCCACTTGGAACTGGAATTTAAGAGAAGAGGCTGGGGCTGCAGAGAGACAGCTTCACAATTGGGGGAATTCAGCTCCCTTCGCTTATTTATCTCAAGGCAGAGCATATGGGAATGGGAGCATGTGTTCTGAGTACATTTACCTAGTCCGTATAATATGATATACCTCCAAGGAGGTAGTCAGTGGGATGACATGTATTTAAAAGGCCGAATGTGGTGTGTGTGGAAAAATCTACCTTCTCTAACAAACTATTGTCTTCCCTAGTTAGCAAGGCTTACGAAGTGGAGGTTCCTTCACCATATACAGTAGTCTGTATCTGCACCCCATACAATTGCTGTGTCAAAGTATGCATTGATATCATGTTTTGAAAAATGCAAACAATGCACAGTTGGGATTATTATATTTGGAAGAGAGAAAACATACATTTCTTCATCACCTTGTGCAGGACATGGGTTGTCTCAAAAGGTTACATATGCGTTGAATGCAAAATACATAAGCAGCAGGAAGTTTCAGCTATAGCTATGTGTACTTTCTGCAAAAAAGAGGCTAGCAATAGATGAAAGAGTTAAAATTATACTTGTACATGTTTATAGTATGTGTTTGATAAAGTACTTTGTCAATATTTTAACATATATCTGTCTTTGCTTGGCAAATGTTAATACATAATATATGTAGCAGATTTTGACGTTAAGTCACCTCTCAGAGTTCTTTAATTTTTTTTAATTTAAATTTAGGATGCATTTGATCAAAGGCAAAGATGCCATAGATCGTTATTTGGCCACGCATATCAAAGGACTGTCAAAGCAAGAGGCTGCTGCGTAAGTAAAGTCTTTCTGAAGCATTTTTATACAGCAAGTTTATTGTTTTCTTTGTTGAAATCTGAAATCTGAAGTTCCTCAGGCAATTTTCTGACGAACATGGCATTTAAAAATTGAAACTGATATTAAATAATTATGTTTCACTGCTACTTATCTTGCATATATCAAAGCATATAGTTCAGTGCCTGTGTTAATTCACTGTTTCACCAAAGTATTAGCACATTTGCAGCATTTAATTGTTTGTCAGTAATTAAAACTATCTATTTTTCTTCCTTATTTTTTTTTAAAGCCTCTCACTTAAGGCTGAAATTTTACTTTCAAAAATACTATTGTGGTTTGTAGTACTGATTTTTCAGTGTGCTCACATTATTTGAAAGCCACTATCCAAAAACAGCCTAAGGGAGGTGTTCTATTTCACATAACATTTACAAACAAAACAAGAAAAGCCACCATTTCATATAATATTTTATAAGGTTTGTATGCATAGAATTTTGGTACTAGTCTCTGTCACAGCTTCTACCCTTTTTTTGCCTCCCTGAAATCAGTGTAATGATTCTAATATCTAAGTGGGAACTGTTGCTTTCGCAATCATCATCTTTATAATTTGGAAAAATAAAGTGAGAAAGAATGCAGTTGTGTGCATTTCCCAGAGCAAGTCCTAGTGCATTCAACAAAGCTTACTGCTGAGGAGATGTTTATAGGGATTGTATGGTAAATTTTATTGAAGTGCAGGAGCAAGTTCTGGAACTCACAGTTACATTCCTCTTGTCCCTTTTTCATTATTGTAAAATTGTGGCAACTTCAGAAACTTGATATGGGATCCAGTGCTGGACAGTTTAAGCACTGCTTACAAATGTTTTTTGAAAAATTGCATTGGGGACCACTCTTTGAAAAACAGAAGTTAATATTCTCAAAATAACATCATGCTGTCATACTATGTTGGATCAAAATAAAAATTATAAAAGATTTCTATTAATTCTTTTAATGTTATTTAAAAGAACCAAGCTGTGGCTTTGTTCTTTTAGTTGAAACAAATGTGTTACTCTTTCCTGTGGGACTTTTATTTAGGTCTGATTGGAGGTCTTTTACTAAGCCCCTGTTTGCAATGGGTAGTACGAATGTAAAGAGTGTGTGTGTGTGTGTGTGTGT